TAACTTTAACCACGAAACCAGATCGGCCGACCTGTAACGTTACACTCTTTGTTTTGCTTCCTCCAGCTAGTGCTGTGACGTCGGCTGACCCTAGTTAGCTGTGGTTGGCCTGGCCGTGCGTCACTCAGAAAACAACTGGCCAATCAGAAGAGAGGCTCATGAATATTAACTAGACAGACCAAAATCGACCTGTTCTCAGCAGAGCTCCTGAGAGAGGAGCTGTAAAAATATATTGAGATGGTTTTTGGTACTTATACCGCAAATATATATTCTTAAGGACATCAAAACCTAAAATAAAACTCCAGAAAGGTGTACAATATGGGACCTTTAAAGCAAAGTCACATCACAACCAAATGTATGCATTTAATATCTATCTATCTATCTATCTATCTATCTATCACTGTTATTGTTGTTGTTATTAAACATTGTTAAACATTCTTTTCAAACTGCTTTTTACTCAGTAATAATAATTTACACATTAGAAATGTATTACTTTAGTTTCCACAAGTCCATATGATATGCACAAAACTGCTAGGGAAGCGTATTAATGTCTTTCTCATGGCACTGCCAAACTACAGTTTGCCAAAATGTCTCTCAGTCCTGTGCCTGAGGCATTCCAGATGTTAGAGAATCAGAATACACAGCTTTCAAGACTCTCTCTACCCAGGACCAAAAGGCATAGCATGAAAGGAAGTGAAAGAAATCGAGACAGTGTGAGAAGGAGTAGAAACACCTTTGGGCAATTGAGGGAGTCATGTATGGTTCTTTTTTTAGTAATCTAAGGCAGTAAGGAACATTTGCACTGAATGCAAGAAATGGACACTGAAAACCGAACATTCATTGACTTTTTATAATGATATTAAGGGTTACTGTTCATATAAAGTTTGACCTTTTATACATAATTTAAAATACATGCTATTACTGCATGCCATTCACAGAAATGGGCTTTTACTGAAAGGTCATATTTGCTTGTTTGCGCATTCATTTGAACTAAGACGGGAGCAAGTTAGCGTCCTGAATTTTCGAAACAAGCAATCTGATTGCTAATGAAATCTGACAACATGGGTAACATGGTTCACAACAACGTAAATGAGGAGAGATTAAAACAAAATGAATACAGGCAAATTTGCCTTTGATTTATGGAATTTGGAAATGCCTAAATAAGGAACATTATACCAAGGGAAGGTCAGTCTCTAATATTTACAGGCTTATTCTAAAATTTACAGTTATATTTAGTCAGAAAACAGACATCCTCATTTTCTGAGGACACTCCCTGTTTTTGATGTCTTCAGAAATGTTTACTATGTTCCCAAAGTGAAATGCTGTGAGATTTATTTTTATATAATTATTTTCTCGGTTTATTTCAGTTTGGGTCATTTGTTTTATGATTCATTTTATAATTCAGTTTTGATTTAAATGTGATTTAAATGTTCGCTATATGGATGTTGAGTGACATGGTGATGCATGTGCAGAGGAGAAGCGCAGCAATGTGATGTTGGCACAGAAGAGTTATCTCTGACAATAAAAGTTACTGTCACTGTTAAAGTTCTGTTTTTCCAGTGTATGAGACTGGATGTTTACCATCTTTCCCTCAAAAATATTTTAATAACGCATTTGTCATTGACCTAAATGTTTTCATTTCAGAAATCTGGTCACCTTAAGTAAGACTGATACTGCCTTAATATCAATATCCATGAATAGCAATTATCAACACACCCATACTAAGCCTTTCAAATATATCAATATGCCAACGAGCATTCAAATTATTAATCACAAAAATAATCTATGACTTAATAATCATACATAACCTGACTCATAGACACACATGCATAATCACAAGCAATTGGCAAGGATCCTTCTCAACAGACAAGGCAAACTTCAACAGTTGTCGCACAGGGTAAAGCTCACAGCTCTTGGCAAGCACATAGCAAGACAGATGGGAGAGCACTGACCTGCCATACTAGGGGCTCCACATGGTCGACTGTAGAGGAGAGGCAGACACTGAGGACAACAGTATGAGAGGACGCGGTGAGCACGCTGGCTATGATGGCATCTCTCATGGAGAAGGGGAGCATGGTGTATACCACAAAGATGATGAACAAGAAGAAAGACACCTAGAATCAGAGTAAACAAAACAAGAGACAGTAAAACATTATGACATATTATTTTGGTTATTTCAGGTGTTAGTTGTCTAAGCAAAAACGTTCAACTGTGTTCTCAGTTTTGTCATGTTGGGGAAGGTTGTAACATGTTCTATTCATGAGACAATCACCACATTGGTTGGCCAAAATAATGGTTTAAAATGTTGTTTTATTTTCTGCCAAATTTTGTTGCAAAATTTGACTGAAAAAAACACTGTCACAACTTTACTTATACTGGTCATCTGTGAGTGACGTCACCTCCCAATATAAACACGCCTCAAATTATAGTCCCGCCCCTGATATTGATTGACAGGTTTCCGTGTTGACATCAGAAATTCAACTGCAAAAGGAATTGCAATTCCATTTGAGTTATGGCAGGTTACATGCGCGACACAGAGAGAGTGAAAAAGCAGATGTGGTAATTAATATTGATATTTAAATATGACAGGCTCATAACTCGTAAGACATGGGAAATACAGTTGCAAATGGACTTTGCTTTTTCATTTGAAATTTGACAGTCACTGTGCGTTCGCAAAAGTGAAAACGCAAACAGTAATGCAAGATTTGCAGTTGCGTTTGGATTATGTCACAATTTATGCGTCCACATGTGGAAAACACAATTGAAAATACAATTTGCAATTCCTTTTGAAAATTGCCCTGAATATTCTTCCATACTCCCATTTTTTTTCTTTGATTGGTTGAAAGTCAGTGTAAATCTAAAGCATATACTCCACAACCATGTAATGTTCACCTGATATTGTTGTTTTAAACCCAGATATAGTCAAATTTCTGAAAAGATTGATGATAATAACAACCATTTTCCCAACTTAAAATTAAAAATACTGCATGCTATCATTGTCTTGTCTTCTATGTGCAACACCATGCATATTGATACAGACGTGATTAAATACCCTATAGATTAAACTACTGGTTTTGAAGCTATATTTCAGAGTGTATAATATAATATAAAGTTTCAGAGTTTGGCCCTGTCCCAAATGGCACCCTAAACCCTCGCGGCCTTCCTCTGATGCCTTGTCCAAATACCCACACTTGCGGTCTTTGCACTTGACCACTTGACAACTTATATGACGTATTTCCTTTATTTGGCCCAAGTGTTCAAGTGAGGATGAAGACCACAAGTGTGTGTCGAACTTTTCATTACCTGATGGTTTCATTACCTGATGATACACTTGTAGTGTTGTAAAAATGCAAGTGTTTACATAGCTTAATTTTAATTTTAAATACTTTGCATTTTAAAATCAACTTCTAAATGTCTGTTCAGTAGTCCTTATAACATGACATAATTTTAATTTGTGGTGCAATTAAGTTATAAAAAGCAGTTGCAAATGTTGTACAAAATAAATATCACCACTACTCATCTTTGCACCAATAAAACGTAAAAACACTGTTTTCTACCAAATTATATGTAATATCTAATTGTTGTATTAATATTTAACTTAAATTGGAAAGGTTTCCGTGACCTCTCGCGAGATCTCGGCAAAAGGTCTCACGATTTATTTCCAGAACATGATGCATGATGGGATACACTAAGCCTCGAATAGCGCTCCGGAGCAGTATTCGAGATAGTGTGGCTCTAGTGTGCGTTAAGGGCACTGCGCTTTGCCGTTTTTAAGACCAGGGACAGTCTTGTGCACTTACTTCCTGTCGCGTGCACGCGCTCTCAAGTGGCCAAGACCGCAAGTATGGGTGTTTGGACAAGGCAATGGTCCGCACTTTTGTGACGTAATGCCGCTTTGACTGTCGGGTAGAAGTCTGCTGCGGAGATTGCACCAGTGCGGGCTCGGCAGAAGTGCGGATCGAGGGCGCATAACGGCCGCAAAGGGGGCGCCCGCGAGCACCCTTCTGAACGCTAAAATGACAAATGGGACACCCTACGGTCTTGTGGACTTAACAGACACGCGCACGTGGCGGCCATTGTAAGTCAGTAAGTGCACATGAAGTGTTCCATTTGGGACAGGGCCTTTATCGCTTACAAGCACCCTTCTGAAAGCTAAAATGACAAATGGGACACCATACGTTCTCATCGCTAAACATGCTGACTGGTTGAGTTCATGCAGCATTGCATTTCAACCACCATTTATTCTGATAATTTTCAAAATATTACTGTTATTGTGTCATGAAATGTAGTTTTAAAAGTATTTCAGGCGAGAATGTAGTTGTTTAAAACTCAAATCTGCTGTTTATTTATAAAGACAACGCCTATTTAAAAATGTGTATCGCCGATTTCGGAGACGTGAGCTCCACGCGATCACCGGGCACTCATGTATCCCGACGAGAGCAGCCTCAACTCAACTAGTCCTTCTGACATTTGCCGCTGGCTCTGATGTCTCTTTAGTGGTTTTACATAAGCTATAATTCATTTTGGGTAAATCTAACAGGTAATCATTGGTCTTTATTCTATTAATCTATTAATATGTTAAAATGAAAACAAAATGAGGCTATACTGTTTGATATAATATTTTGTTTCATTGTAATGTAGGCTATATACATTTCCCTGAACTAAATTCCAGCGGCTATTAAATATAAACAAAATGAGGCAGTGGTGTTTATCATATTTCGTCTTTTTGTAAATACAGTGAGGAAAATTGCGGTAGCCAAGGCGAGCTGACTGACGTTATCAAGTACGCTGCTGCTTGCAGAATTACTTTCTTACTTTCTTAAGCTCAAATAGCATTAAAAAATCTTATTTTTCAGCCTAGACCAGCCAATGTGTATGTGCAGTCTTAAGTGCACGATTTGGTTCACAACTACAAACACAAACAACAAGTGTAAAAAAAAAAACTACAAACATGGCAGATGTGCGGGACCAACAGTTAAGTAGAAAGGTTTTACTAATAATCAACATTTAACCTGGTAAAACAACATTTATTTAATGTTATCCGTGATATATTTCATCTGCAACAACAATGTGAAATTTTCTAAACATCCATTTGGCCAACTTTTAAATGCATTAGGCCTATTATGCAAAAAAACCTTGAGTTATTCACATGAAAGAACCACGGTTGCTAGATCAATGTGCTACTTCTTTTCTCTCTGACACAGTAGGAAGTTAAGTAAATTAAATGTGGAAAATGTTAACTGTGACAATATGATTGACATGCCTGTATATAGTGACATGATGTGCATAACTATGCTTCAGAGCGTCCATTAAATATGCAATTGTATGGCGCTATAGTATGTCCTTCACATACTTTAAGGATGCAGTATAAGTAGGCAAATTGGGATGCAGCATGTTTCTATAGCATCTGGAGCTTCTAATGGCAGAAGCAGTGATGTGATGACTTTACCAATTAGCAACTGGCTCTTTAATTTAGAAGGCGGGACTATTTCACCATATTGCGCATTGCACTTACTCCTATTCATAACTTAAGTGATATGAGTATTTTGATATGCATCATTGTATATAAAAAGTCTTTATTTAAGATCAGTGTGAGTCTATTAGTTATTTGATTTCATAATCATTGCGTACATTGTTTTCACTATGTTAGTTGTGATGAAAGTATTCATGATGACAGAAATTGTGTCGCAATAAGGAGATGATTGATGTGTTCAGTAGACATGACTGTTCAGCTACAGCGCAGTGCTGCAACCTTTAATGCAATCAGGGCCGGATTCTGATGTAGTGGTACCTGCAGGCCACTTGTAGATTTTGTAAGGCGGTGTAAACGTATGAGCTCAACTATATTGCTTACTCACGAACCAGTTCAAGTTTATTTGTATTGCGCTTTTCGCGATACAAATCATTGCAAAGCAGCTTTATAGGTCCTCTGAGGGGTTTGCATCATCTCTTCTCAGGTGTTCGGTCATCTCAGGTCTTTGTAAGGGCTGGATCCAATGACATATTCTATGATATCACGACATCAAGCACCACTAAATGAAGATTATTTTCTTGACCAACAAAGTAAAAATAATAGAAAATATGGACTGAAAATACAGACATTGTCAACTGTTATTAGATAGCATGGATGTGTTAAAACCTTACCTCTCTAGTGCTGTGCATTTTTGGTTCAGTGATATGGAGTATGATTTCAGTGTTTGTTTTTTTTCTGGTGGTGTAACATCATACCATATTCAAAACGTCACAGTCAAGCAACATGAGCCATTGCTCTATGTGCCCATGTAAGACCTCTCTGATTTCATTCATAACTGAGAATTATTCCTACTCACTGCCTCTCTTTCCTCTTAGTTATTAGAAAGACATCACTGAGGTAAGACAAAACAATCAAACAAACAACCACAACAAAAAAAACAAATAAATGTATTGTATATTAATTGTCTTTGTAGTGCCTGAGCAGATCGCTCTAATTTTAAAAGTAACTGAATTGGTTACACTTTATTTCGATAGTCCACTTTAGACATTATATTAACTATAAGTAACTTTGTAACTACATGTCAACTACATGTCAACTAATTCTCATTAATTTGCAACTACATGTCTACTAACTCTCAGAGTAGACTGTTAGGGTAGGTTTAGGGTTAGTAGAATAAGTTGACAAAGAAAGTGTTAGAAGATATTAAGCCGACAGTCTACTAATACTCTACTAACTGCTAGTTGACATTTAGTTGCAAAGTTACTTGCTGTTAATAGAATGTCTAAAGTGGACTATCGAAATAAAGTGTTACCACTGAATCTTATATTGATAATTAAAATATATTTAATATAATACATTTTTACCATTTATATACCAAGTTTCATTGGGATGTTTTCTTTCTTCATACAGATCGGACCATTCCAATCCTAAAAATGTCTATAGAGTTGATATCTTTGCATCAGAGTGTTTTAGATTACTCAAATGGAACCAGGAACTATTTTACACTTTGCACAGATCAGCCTGCAGTCCCTTTGTTCTGGTCAGGTCTCTGTGCATTTTGTTTTCTTCTGGGTCTCCCTGCCAGTGTCACTGTACTTTGGGAACTTTGTGAAAGACATCGACAAAACATCTCTACTAATG